TCATTGTCATTATATTACTGCACCACCCTAAACGTACTGCTTCTGGAGTATCTGGGCAAACTGTACTTAGACTGTCTTAGAGCCTATAACAAGCTTTAAGCTTTAACATAGATGCTGTTCTGGTATGACAGAACATAGGATGCTTGTGTGTGACACAGATTCATTCATTACGTATATGTGAACTTCCTTTGGGCAATCGGATCCTTAGACGACATTTGTTTCATCTCGACAGGTCCACCCTACCTCCACAGTCAATGCGACTGTCTGCGCCTGCAACCACATGACGGCGTTCGGGACTGGCTTCGTCACCGTACCGAACACGATTGACCTGACCACCGTGTTCGACAAGTTCACGGACATAGGGAACAACGCAGGGGTCCTCGCTACCGTTCTGACGTCACTAGCGTTGTACGTTGCCGGGGTCATGTTTCTAAGGAAGGCTGACAGAGATGGAATGAAAAAGGTGAGATTATGACGAAACCAACGCTACTCAATGAAAACAAAAGTGGACACCGGTCATTTTATTTCTTGGTTATTCCAATTCTCTTCTGCATATTATTTTAAGTTTCTTAAGGACTTCAGACGAAATGATTTCTCGTTGTTTTTGACAGTTGATTGTCCGTGGCCTACCCGACAACCGCTCCACTGACAACTACTATTACAAGATGACCGTCTACACCAGTCACGCCAGAGGGTCTGGAACCAAGTCCAACGTGGGCTTTTCTTTACTTGGGGACAAAGGGAGTACTGGAGTCAGGGTGTTCAAGCAAGGTCCAGAGGTAAAGAGTCAAATAGACATTAATTAATTTTATCAGTGTTATATTGGTTTAATGCGCACGCAGTTGTTAGGACGTATTTCTTAATTGGCATCACGTAAAACTACCACTACAGTTTTTCATTGTTGACGACCACGTAGTGAGTGAGAAATTGTGACAAGCTTGTTTGAAAAAATGAACCCGTCACGCTTTAAGTGTACCACTATCTATCTTAGACCTTTCAGGCCGGTGGTGTGGACATCTTCTTGCTGGCTGTTCCAGAAAGTCTGGGCGACCTTCTTCGGCTTCATATCTGGCACGACAACCAGGGGGGCAACGGCAGGGCTTGGAAGTTAGATAAAGTCATCGTGCGGGATTTACAATCAGGAGAGGCGTAAGTAAAATGGAGTTGTGACTCGTGTAGCTACGAATGCATTACTTGCAGGTACAAATAAAAAGAATTTGAAGAAAATAATTTTCACATATTCAGTATGATCTCCGTAAATGTGATTAGTGCCGTCAATTCAAATAGTTTTTGTTGCGGTTCACAGAAACAGTTTCCTGTGTGACCAGTGGCTATCGGTGGACCACGGGGACGGTAGAATCAGCCGGATTCTTCCCTCTTCAACAGAGCAAGATTTGTCACCCTTCCATCTTTTGACTACAAATGCCGTCGACAGTTTTAAAAATGAGCACATCTGGCTCTCCATCTTCTTCTGCCCCAGTGGCAGCCATTTCAGCCGTGTCCAACGCCTCTCCTGTGGACTGTGTGTCGTCTACACCACCATGATTGCCAACGCCATGTGGTACAAAACCGAAGACAACCTGCAGCAGAATAACGTGGTGAATCTTGGGATAGTCTCCTTCACGCTTCACGAGTTATACGTCAGCACGATGACGTCATTGTTTGTACTACCTGTAAACCTGCTCCTCTTCCAGCTCTTCAAACGGTGCAGAGAAAAACAACAACCTGCCAAGAATGCCGTGAATGTCGCAGAGAAGGAAGACATCAGGTCTTTGCTGTTGAAAACGCGGTCATCCTCCAAGTCTCTTCCCCACGGATTTGTGTATGTGGCTTGGTCGATCCTGGCCCTCAGCTGTTGCGTGTCGGCGTTCTTTACTATTCTCTACAGCCTGGAATGGGGAGCTGAGAAGGCAAACGCATGGCTGAAGACGTTTCTGATGTCCTTCGTTCAAGACGTCTTTGTAGTACAGCCATTCAAGGTATGAGCTTTCTGTTATCGTGCCATCATGTCACTGGGACCAGAGAAAACCTTTAGTGAAGAGGATTTCCTCATTATCCCGACGGAAGCAGATCAAGACAAAAAACTAAATTTCATACTTTTATCTGTCTGTCCACGACATTCTTTTCATGGCATTGCAAATGTTATAATTACTCTCTGTATACTAGTACATGGCTTGTGTTGATGGAAGCTTCCATTTGCAATTATGCAAATCTCGTTTACATGCTCCTCCCGCAGATTCTGGCTCTCTCTACACTGGTCCCCTATATCTGCAAGAAAGCAGCAGTGTTATCGACGCGGGATGACGTCGTCCTACAACACGCTGACGTAGAGGATTCCAGCCAATCAGAGAGCAGCCTGTTTGCCTGGATATCTCACAGGGCGACCTTGAGGGGTATGGAGCACTATTTGTTTAGTCTCCACGATACGAACCACGCTTAACGACAAATTTAGCTAAATAGGGAATATGATTTTTCATTTCAGGTCTATTTTTGTACTTCATCCGGAAGGCCGAACCAAATCATTCATACATGGCGATGATTTATCTAATATACTGCGCTTATCGACAGTACTTTGCAGTCCTACTGTACGATATTGTAGTATTGTAACAGTTACGTTATCATGCACCCCATTCCATGGCTGAAATATATTCTTTTCCTGATACTTCTTCTGTTACTTCGTTGAATGGGTTCAATTTCTTATTTTCTTCCTTTTCACCAGTGAACAAACAACAGTTGCTGAAAGTTCTCCTTAAGCATGACCTAGCGGAGGAATCGCAGAGGGAGCGGAAAAAGAGGGAAGAGACCAGAAAAAAGACGGACAGTGTGATACAGGAGGTTGCCGGGTTCTTCGTGTTTGTGCTGATTCTGCTTGTGGTGGTGAATAGTGGCACAAACGTCTACTCTCACCACGCCTACAACACTATAGGAGACCTCTTCCAGTCGGATTTTGATGAGGTCAGATTCTCTTTTTAAAGCACAAATATACCCACTTCAATACATCTGCAAAAGCACACACACACACACACACACACACACACACACACATATGCACGCGCACGTATGTACACAGGCACACAGACACTCGCTCACGTATATATTTATACTTCACGTCTGCCTGGGTCGGTGGTTTTTAAGAGATGATAGTCTGACTCTTCGTTCACAGATCAGTACAGCGGACGACTATTGGACGTGGGCGCGCGACGTCCTTATTCCGGGTCTGTTCCAGGAAAAGCATTACAACAGTAAGAGGCTCGGCTGGAATCTTTTCATCAGTGACACCACTTCTTACAGGATCGGAGCTGCACGCTACAAGCAGATACGAGTCAAACCAAGTAAGAATTCAAGATCTGCCTTCTTCTAGAAGTACACTGGATGCATAATTTCATTGCATTCCGTCAGTGGAAAGGTACTCATCTATCACATTAGTTTTGCCTGGTGAGTTTTAAAAAAGCAATATTTGCGACAACAAAATTGAATTAACAATGAAATAAGCAGATCAAGCAGGTGAATGTGAAGCAGATCATGTCCATAGCGCTACACAAAAAAGGCTTCGTTGCTGTTAGATTTCTCATTCCATGACATATAGTTACAACGAACATACGTTTATAAATTGTATTTTTCTTCCATCCACTCAAAGGACCCTGTGACTTTCAGCCGCGCTACACCAGCCTTTACATGAGTCATCAGGAATGCAACAGCGGGAACGCCATTTCAGACGAGGAGACGCGAGACTTTCTGCACGGATGGACACCCCTCTCCTCCTCCAATTCTTCGGAAGATGTCTCCGAGCCGTCGCCCTGGACGTACCACCTCCCCGGGTCTGGTGACGAGCTCCCCGCGATGGGAGCCATTGCCACGTACGGCTCGGGAGGTTACGTTACCGGAGTCGGCAGAAACAAAGCTGCTGCCCTCGCTGTCATCGCTGACCTGAAGGAAGCCGGCTGGATTGACCGTTACACACGCGCCGTCATTGTCGAGTTCACGGTGTACAACGCCAATGTCAACTTCTTCAGCACGATGTCGTACATGGTGGAGTTTCTCAACACGGGAGGGGCGGTGCCGTCCCACTCTGTGTGGACCTACCGCTTACATCGGTTCGTCGGCACGGCTGGATACATCCTCATGGCCCTGCACATCCTGTATGTGGTCTGTTTCCTCTACACGCTGTACAGGGAAGTAAGACTGATGAAGGAACAAGGGAGAAGCTACTGCCTGCAACCGTGGAACCTTCTCGAGATTGCCAACATTCTGGTTTGTTTCGGCGCCGTTGCCGTTTTTGCTGTAGACTACATAACCTCGAGGAATACTCTGGACAAGCTACTCCATCGCCGTGGTAATGCCTTCTGTTTGTAAAACATCGGTGATTTTCTTCTTGGTTTTAGATTTGTATGGGTCATATAGACAGACAGTAGTTTCTGATCGCACATTCTGAAGCACCTCTTTTAAATGTTGCTTTTAGATTTTTTAGATACGTCAAAGTTCGTCAGCTTCGACCAGGCCGTCTTCTGGAACCAGGCGTTTGTTTGGACAGTGGCCACCGTCGCCTTCATCAACATCTTCAAGTTCCTTCGCCTCCTCCGCTTCAACCCGATGTTGTCTGTGTTGATGACGTCAATGCGACGCATGGCACCAGAGGTTACAGCCTTCGCCGTGTACTTCACCTTCCTGTTTCTCTCATTCGTGCAGCTGGGACATTTGGTCTTTGGACTCAAAATACAGGTCTGGATGGTTTGTTGTTTCCTTTGTCTTTGTGGTGCTCTTTTATTCATGGCAACTTACGCAAGGCCTTTGTCATTTTCCCATTTATGAAATGCTCTAATTTTGGTACCGAAATACGGACGAGCTCCCGGGTGGCCATCAGCGATATATCACTGGTCTATATTTTGTCTGAGTAAATTTGTCTGTGCCTGTTTAACGCATTTACTAGCCAAAAGAACAAACAAGCAAAGAATCAAATAAACATTGCTAGAAGAACAAAGATAAAAGAGTAGCGATGTCATCAAGATTGAAGGTAAGACAAGAACAGTTGTAAGACTAGTCTTGGTGTATACATTTTACAGGCATATTCCACGATAGCCGCCTCTGCAAAGAGTCTCTTCGTCTGTACCCTGGGGATGTTTGATTTCGATGAAATCTTAAGCACCAGTAGGGTCATCGGGCCCCTGTTCCTGTACACCTATCTGTGCGTGGTCTTCCTCGTTATCATCAACATCCTGGTGGCCATCATCAACGACGCACTCGTGGTGATGAGAGGTTACACGCCGCCTCAGGAACATCAGGAGATCCTGCAGGAGCTGTGGAGGAGGCTGGCCAACTTCCTCGGTCTGACAAACTCTGAAAATCAGGGTAAGATGGCCTCTAGATGTAAACCACTAGTTCATGAGCAGCTGTGCCGAGATTAACCAGCTACAGCGAAAATAATGTCACGCAAAATTACACAAACCGGTTTGTCATGAGGCACCCTTAAGCTGTAGCATCTACCCCTAGTCTTTTAGTAGCCTACAAAGGGAAGAAGAAGTCGAGATAGACCGAGAGTCAGCTATATAGACAACTCGTACAAAGGCCTGGTACATGTAGAGGTGAAGGAAATTAAAGCTCCAATTGAATACAGCGTGTAATGGAAGATTCTCTACAATTTGGCTCGAGCGAGTCGGCGAATAACCTAGTGCAGCACATTAAGGATTAGAAGCTCATCCTGGTGTGATTATATTAGCTTATTATTAGCATTTTACGGAAGCACATTTATACGTTGTTAGCGACTGATGCAAGTCCTTGTTGTATCTCCTGATGATTTCCAGAGGATGACATGCTGGCATCAGAAAGACTGGAGGATTGTCTGACTAGACTGGATCTTCTTGTACGGGCCATGAAGGAGAGACGAGTCGCAGAGGACGCGATGAGAAGGCACTATGCCATAGAATAATGTAGAAAAGGTCGAAGAATGCTAGCCTCTACCAGGCTTCGGTGGGCGCCTGGAAACTTGCAGCAAAATGGCAAAATGTGGTCTCTCTAGCGGAGCAACTCCCTCGGCATGTTATCTCTCGAATTGGCTATTTTTTACTGTTTCCCGCCCCCTCCCGAAGCCTGGTAGAGGCTAGAAGTAACGAGATATTCAAGGACGACATGTGTTAATATTATCTATTGTATCGTGGTATTCTGTGGCCATATCGTCAATTATATGCTAAGCTATAACGGTCGTACATTTTTTTCTGGCATCAGAAAGTTTCACCGGTAATGACTGGCGTTTTAAAATAGATTCAATTTATATCTTAATATCAAAGAGCAATTTCTAACGCCTTATACTACCTTTGCATTAATTATCTGATAGATATATTTGATTGAATATAATGGTGCAACTTATTGATTGTTGATTTAGTTAAGAACCTTTCGTGTGTTTGTTGTTAATTCGTCATATTTACCAAATATACGAGTATGATATACAGTTTTTAAAAACGTACATAGCGAGTAGAAATGTCCATTAAAAATAAAATCATGTGTAGGCCGCATGAAATAATTTGTAACCAGCGTTTCAGGCTCAGAATAAATCTAGCGACTCACACAAGTGTAATGGCTTTGTTGTTCTTTGTTGTCCGTTTCTTTACATGTTAATAGTAATAGAGAATTGTTATTGTGAGTGATTGTTATTTTCGTCAAATATCACCATCATTCCCTGATGTTACACGGATGTCCATACCCACCCCCGAGTATATACTGAGTACACATTATCATACATACAGCACTACAGAACTACTGTATACCGGAATAATCTCTAAATCATGTCTATTATATCCATTTATTTCTGAATTTACAAAATGTACAGGCCATGCCAAATACAGCCCATACATTATGTCTGTCCGTGTTCTTAGAGCGCTAGCGCCAGGGATTGTACATGGTCCCCATCACATAACAGCTGAGGGACGTACCTCTTGGACTAATATATACTGTGTAACCTTGTCGGCTGCATCCATTGTTTGTATAGTGATGAGCGACTGTTGTATCCATTGTTTACATGGTGACCAGCAAATGTGCAATCTACAAAATGGCCCGGAATACATCGTAAAGTTGCCTTCTGTCGGCGTTTAAAGAGTTTTTTAATATGCATACAATGCATACAAATTGTAAACATAATTTTACTGCCAGCACTTTATGGTGCATACAATAGGTGATGGTGGTACCTCATCTTGCTAAGTGGTTTTTGTATCTCCAAGGCCTTGGTATCTCCATCCATCACATGTCGGCAGCAGGGCGTGCGTTAGTCTGTCAGACGACACCGCTACTGACGGATGTACGGAGAGACACCGTCCACGATGTGGTGGTTTTCTACAATCATCCTCGTTCAGTTAGTCTCCCTGGGACACTGTCTACGTGAAGAACGGACGTCAGTTCCTTCTTCCAGTAAGTAGACAGGATTTCTACATGTACGTAGCCGACGAGACTGTCTTTTTTGGAATGATCAACATATAATATATGTCGTAATGTATATATCTATATATGGTTTTCTACAATCATCCTTGTTCTGTCGGTATCTCTGGGACACTGCACCCAACCCATTTATTTAGGGCGGACGTCAGTTCCTTCTACCAGTAAGTAGACAGGGTTTCTACGTAGCCGACTAGGCTAGTCCTTTGTGGAATGATCAGCATATGATATTCTGTATCTGTATAGCCGGTATAACCGCCTTTCAGCGTAACACTGTATGCCTTGACGTACGATGACATGTATGCCTTGACGTACGATGCTGTAGGTTTAGCAGTGCTCGAAATACCACCTGCATACGCAGGATACTTTGGAGATATGCAGGTATTTCTGATGTCTATACCTGCACCTAGCTAATCTCCAAGCAGATGCCTTTCGGTGGCAAAAAGACAGTATCAAATTGGCCAGCCAGTATCCATTGGCCAGAGAAGGTCGCGGGCATTAGCGACAAAAAGATGACCATAAATAAAAAGCTAACGATCATTCCCCCACAACCTCTGCTTGGAGAGTACACCTAGCCTGTACCAGCAAATGTATTGGGTTTATGTGTACATGGATTATATTTGCTGCATTGACTGTTACCACCTATGAAGTACATGTATGCAGGAAAGGTATTTCGAGCACTGCCAGGGCTCGCAGAAACATAATTATATGACGTCCTCGCT